AACCACATTTTTGTGAATCCTTTTCTCCTCAGAACTTTGTAACGGAAGATGCTGTTGTTTTGTTTTCATTCAGTAAAATCGGATCAGTTTTGCATTGACTGGGCACTGTGTGAAAGTAGCAATGGGTTTTCACCCTAAAACTCCTCCTTTGCTACTTTTGTAGTTCACAGAATATTGGTTTTATTCCATTTTAGTGCAGTTCCAACTCTGCTCCAAATGCAATGGCAAATTAATTTGTTGGCCTCAAACAAAATTTTAAATACTATTTCCCAGATTTTTTCTCCCCCACTAAATAGCTTTTTTTGCCCCTGAGTAACAGGTTTTGTGTGTGTCTGGCCAGTTAAGAAATGTTCCATCAGGTTCAGCGAACACGTTTTCCTGCTTCTGCTGCGGAGAACATTCCTTGCTCCTGCGGCTGTCTGTAACTGTGAGATTTTTTTAAACAGTATTTCCAGGTGAACGTATCAAATCTTTCTATATGATTTCAGCCACAACTTCAGTGCCAGCTGAAGGTTGCTCTTTCAGGAGCCTTGTAACCAGAATAAAGACGTTGCCTATATTTATTTAAGTATTTATCTGTCACTCTCAGCTCATTATTTAGCCCTGTTGGTTAACATAAAGCACTCCCATAGTGAGCCCATCTCTGAGTGCGGTGAGTCTGTGGTCAGAATAGTGTCCGGTCCAGGCACATGCCAGTGCTCTGACTCTGGCAACGTGGTACCAACGTGCCCAGCGCCGAGTACCAAATATCTCATAATGCTGAATGATTTTATGAAGGAAGTATTTTCAGAACCAGACACTACATGCAGAAATTTCCATCTCCCCTGTCTTGCAGTACCCCGCCTCCTTAGGTTTAAAAATAAATAGATATTCTAGCAGAAGAAGTGGAGGTTTGTGCTGAAATGCTGACTTTAAAAATAGCAATATGTTCTGATAATGCCAGATATTTTTAATGAATTAAACCCAAGAGAAGCGTGTGTTCCAAGGTGACTGGAAGAGAAGTTTTGTGGTGCACTTATTCTTGGACTGTGCTGGGGAAATGCTTGAACTTCTTCTCTAAAGTCGTGTTTCTAGTGAACACCAACTACTACAGTGGGGAACCTGGTAAACTGAGAATATATTTGCATTAATTCAAACTTTTATGGTCAATTGGAAAAGGACAGCATCTTACTTCGAATGAAATCTCTGCACATGAGGAAAGTTCATTCAGGCTTCATAGCCCCAGGGGCCCACCCTTTTTCACTAAAATCCATTGATAAAAATGGAATTAATTTAAATCGAATGGTTTCTGCTTAGCTACACAGGCTTACAACATGCTGTAAAAGTTAATATAAATCAATATATGAAAAGCAGCGTGGCATGAATGAATTAGGCAGTGTAATAGAAGATTTTATTTCTTAGGTAATATAAAAAAAGACTAAAGGGTCTTAAATTTTTAAGCAGAACATTTAAAAATTTTATTTCTGTTTTATAGACAAGCTGTGGACACTTGCAGGAAAGAAACAGACTTTCTCAGAAAACATGCGAGCTGGGGCAGGGAAATTAATGCTTATGCAGACTATAGTGTGGAAAAATGCTAATTATCAATTCATTTGACACTCAGTCAGTTCCAGATAAGGTATCGGACTGAGGATATTTGGCTCACTGTAGCTCCGCCATTGTTATTGGAATTTGGGTTGCAGTAGTTGAATTCATCACTGTTTGTTTGTACAAAGACTGACAGTTGCTTTAATTTCTGGGCATTCTTTGGCTGTAAGGAATTCACAGAATCACAGCATGTTCGGGGTTGGAAGGGACCTCTGTGGGTCATCTAGTCCTACCCTCCTGCCGAAGCAGGGTCACCTACAGCAGGCTGCACAGGACCTTGTCCAGGCGGGTCTTGAATATCTCCAGAGAAGGAGACTCCACAACCTCCCTGGGCAGCCTGTTCCAGTGCTCCGTCACCCTCAGAGGGAAGAAGTTCTTCCTCATGTTCAGACGGAACTTCCTGTGCCTCAGTTTGTGCCCGTTGCCCCTTGTCCTGTGACTGGCACCACTGAAAAGAGTCTGGCCCCTTCCTCCTGACACCCACCCTTAAGGTATATGTAATTTGACCTGAGGCTGAACAAGAGAAAAAGCATTTCTTTCCTTCATGAGTATTTTCACTTTTCCAATGGTGCTTTCTTGTTCTCCGTACAGTGATAAATAAGTGCGTTCTCATCTTTCGTTGCCTCAGAGAATTCCTCCCTGTATGGGTTGTACATCCATGCGTAGACTGGTGAGATGGCTGGTCATCGTGGAACCAGAAAGGAAATTGCCTCTGTGTCTATTTTAGGTGTAACTACAACTTTTACTTTTCACTATTTTGAATACTTAACTGTATTTTTCTACCAAGGCAATGAAGACAGCAGACAGCTGTGGTTAGTTAATAGTGAATAGAATGTTTTCTCTGTAGCGTGGGCCATATAGGAAACATCCCATGGGGCTGGATTGACTCACGCAGTGATGTTAGCCAAGTTCCTCCTTTTGTGACTGCTGCTGAGCTCGGCTCACGGGGCCAAAGCCTGGTCAGATTTGTAAACTATGTGCCCAGAAAGAGACAAAGGAGGACAATGGGATTGTCACATAAACCAGCAAAGACTTTGTTTCATTTAGATTCAGCCCTGAGCCAAATTCAAGCGAAACTAAATGTGAAGAGGCACTGTGTTTTGGTTTCGGCTGCCGCCGGCAACAAAAGCGCCACGCGGCCGCCC